GGTATATCTTAGAGTTCTTCTAGATACCTTTCAAATCAACATTAATATGAATATATCTTAGAGTTCTTCTAGATATCTTTCAAATCAACATTTATATGGGTATATCTTAGAGGTCTTCTAGAAACCCTTGACAATCCATATTATTTTCACAATCATCAATATATTCATTATGATTTAATCATTCATAATTACCATTTTTAATCAAAACATTTATCAAGATTTAATCATCATAATCACCAACTAATAATCATTACCATAATCATTCATCAATTCAATAACAATTAGCGGCCTAGCTTCGGGTGTTAACACCCTAACTTACCGTCATGCATCACATAACATTTTATTTGTTAAAAATATTACTTTTAATGTGAAAAATCATTTTTATAATGATCATAATCAATTGTTATCAAAAATAGGATTTTAGAGCTCAAAAATAACATTTTAAGACAAATTTTCAGATCAGAAATTCGGGGGATCGATCCAGCCTTCTGGATCGATCCATATGTAGAGGAATTATGCCCAGGTGATCGATCCACCCATTTGGATCGATCCAGACAGCCTGGTTTTTGGTTACTGTTCATCTTCTTCTTCGTTCGGGTCCAATTTCGAAAATACCGTTTTTAGTTACCGAACTTCAACAAAACTATATAGAGATGTTCTCCAAGGTTCATAGATCATTTTGGCATCATTAATTCATAGTTTTAACATCAATTTAATGGTTTATGATTCTTGGTTCTTCAAGCATGTCTAACACAAAACTCAACCAAACGACCGTTTATGAACGTAGAAACGATCTATATGAACATTCTAGTCACTAGATATATCTACGGGCTTACCTCGAAGGTAAATGAAGGTTTTGAAGATTTTCTGGCGAAACTTCCGGCGACGATAGCTCTCAACTCCGGCGACCTCACACCAATACGACAGCACCACCACGTTCTCCTCACTCCGAGCAACAGAATAGAATGAAACTTTGTAAGAAATGGTGAAGAATGGAGGGAGTTGTGGTAGTCTTTTATAGGAGAAGGAAGAGGAAGAAGACATGGTGATGACTCCATTCTCCTGTTTTGGCGTCTCAGTGGAGCGGACGGCCTATCTCTACAATTCCAAA